ATTGTTTGACCTAGATACTTTTAATACATTTGTTAGGAAGTGCAGTTTTCTGCAGGAGCTAATTGTTAGATAGCTTCAGATGGAGAAACAGATGCTCTAAGCAGTGGTTGGCTTATGTCTTTCTCCTCATGGGTCTGCACAGCCATTCTGCTCCTTGGGTAAACCTAAGACGACTCTCTGAATCTGAAGCATCTGACCCTGAGTCTGTAACCAGAGAGCTTCGGTCCCGCAGTGTGTGCTGCTTAAACCCAGCCCTTTGCCAGCGTGTTCTGGTTATTTTTACTCACGGAGTGTTGTAGGCATAAAAGGTTGCAGGTCTGGTGTTCCATTTTCATGTCGCTGACCTTTCTACCTTATGATTTTCTTGTGGTGTATTTTTACAGCGCCTGGATGGTTCCATCAAGGGAGAAATCCGAAAACAGGCCCTGGATCACTTCAATGCAGATGGGTCTGAGGTACACTATGCATGGCTTTCTTACTTTGGAGGTGGGCTCTGTGTCAAGGGGAAAGTCCTTTCCAACTTAATGCATTCTGTCTCAGAAACAGTTTGCAGAGCATTTCTTCTGCCTTGAGAAAGGAATGAGGAATCCTATTCATTGTTTATTACCCCAGAAAATGTACGCGTGCTTGTTTATCTTTCTGTTCTTTCTTTCATGAAGAGTAGTTCTATGATCAGCTACTTTCTCTGATGGCTTCTAGATTCCAAATTGCTGGTCTTGGGAGATAGGAGGTGGGAAGAGGGTTGACTGTTAGTGTTAATTTTGACATGTGTGTTACATGAAGAGTTCTAATCTGTGCTCTTGTTGATTGAGGCTGGAAAAATCTCTTTGCTCTGTATCATATTTTTTGACTCTGAGTTCCATGAGGTTTAATGTTCTTGTTTAGTGTCATTGCTACATTTTCCAGCTTGGATTTGGTGTTCTATATTTTCTGTTTGGTGTATTTATTGTAAAGTATTACAAAAGATAATTGGAAAGTGTAATGTTTTTATTTGTATATACCAGAAATATTAAATGCCTTGGGATTTGATCGAAGTAGGGAGAGAAGAGGGTGAAGCATTAATATAGACTGTACTTGTGGCAGTATAGAGACAGAGCTACAAGTGTTTCAAAGTGTTAGCATTTTGGGCCATGGTCTATGTTATGTAGGTAAAACAACTTGACTTTCTACTTAAGACCTTTACCCACTTTAATGTCTGTGTCTGTTGATTTATCCATTGTCTCTATAGACCCAAAATAAATTTAGACTCATTGCTGTGAAGTCAGTTCTGACTTATGACTCATTGGGTTTCCTAGGCTCTAAATCTCAATGGAGGAGACTTCTCATCTTTCTCCCTTGAGGGCCCTGGTGGTTTTAAAGCCCTGTCGACACATGACATTTTAATTAGCAGTGCACCAGACTACCAGACTATGGTCTATGCTGCCAGGGCTCCTTTCTTCTAGCCTATAGAGTCTTAATTAGATTCTAATATTCTGGCTGTGTCTATAACCTAAAATTTTCATTCTCCTTGGGCACTTTGGGCACTGTGCTATTCAGAACCAGGGCTCCGAATGTTGTTTTTGATTGCCATCATTTTGAGCACGACTCATAAGCGGCCCTATGAACAAAAGAACTGAAGTCTTTCTTTAACTATCGTTAATTCTCAAAGTCCATAGAGTTTCCAGAGGCACGTTGTTTAGGAAGTGGATGCCAGTCCTGCATCCAAAAAGGCTAAGAGGAATGAAATTACTAATTTCTATCCCTTCTTTTCCTCCTCTTTAAGTTTCTTCAACTGTAAGATCAAAATAATTTTTACACCAACTTCATATCATTACTGGGAGGATTAAATGTGTGTAATAATATGACGCACCTAGCACATTCTCTACCATATTGTACTGTTGCTGGTGGTGTTTTGTGCTGTGAAGTTGGAACTGACTCACAGCTGACCTTTCAGTGGGTTTTCAGAAGTAAAGCACCTGGGAGGAGAGTGCCCATTTTTGTCCCAAAGAGCAACTGGTGGATTTGAGCCTTTGGCTTTGCGTTGGCAGAATAGCACTTTACTCACTAGGCCACCAGCACTCCATCAATGTTAGATACTTTATAAAATATTAGTTGGAATTAGTTTGTTCCTTTCATAATTTAGGAATAAAAAGTACAAGTTGAATATTTCATATTGCCCTTTCTCAGGAAAACCTAGTTACATTTGATTTAGCTTTCAAATGAGCAGCTGCTTGCTCTTGTATTGCTTTATATGGAATACAGATTTTCTACTGTTTTCTCCAAATCTAGGTAAGTTTTTCAATTAATGAAAAGATTCTTTCTTTAATTAATTAATTTTAATGAAAGTTTACAGAGACTTTGGATTTCCATTCATTCATTGTTACACTTTTTCCCTTGCCCAACCTCCCCCCTCAGTTCGCTCTTCTCTTTGAAAAGTAAAAGAAAAATTCTTTCTTTGTTATACAGTATCTCCCCCCAAGTCTAATTCACTGTGCAGCCTTTGTTCTGGACTCCTGTCATGACAGTAATACCTAATCATATATCCCTTTTAAACAGTTCTTTCCCTCATCTGTTGCAATGCAGTATACATAATTTAGCGTATCTTTCCCAGTCTCCCTTCAACCCCGATGTCAGTCCCGTTTTACAACCGTGGCCCTATGAAGTATTTGTCCTTTTGTAAGTGAGATATTTCACTCAGCGTAATGGCCTCCAGGATCACCCATTTTGTATATTTCATGACTTCCTTGTTTTTCAATGCAGAGTAGTATTCCATTGTGTGAATATACCACAACTTCTCTATCCATTCATTTGTTGATGGGCACTTAGGTTGTTTCCAACTCTTTGCTACTGTAAACAAAGCCATGATAAGCATGAGTGTGCATATATCTGCTTGGGTTGCAATTATGGTTTCCTGTAGTAATGTTTTGTAACTTTCTTTGAATAGATCCTTTGTGCTTCTGGCACTCCCAAGTATTTAAACGTGTGATTAGCTATTGTGAAGGGTATTGATTTTCTTAGTTCTGGCTCTGTATTCTCTTTGTCACTGTAGAGAAATCCAACTTATTTTTGTATGTTGATCTTGTATCCTGCTACTTTGCTGAATTGGTCAACTATGTCCAGTAGTTTTCTTGCTGAGTCTTTAGGGTTTTCTAAGTATACTATCATATCATTGGCATCTAGAGATAATTTTACCTCCTTTTTGCCAATTGGATACCTCTTATTTCCTTCTCTTATTGCTATCGCTAAGACTTCCAATACAACATTGAATAAGAGAGGTGATAGTGGGCATCCTTACCTAGTTCCTGTTCTTAAAGTGAATGCCTTTAATCTCTCTCCATTGAGAACAATGTTGGCTCTTGGATTTGCGTATATACTTTTTACTATGTTGAAGAAATTCCCCTCTAATCCTATTTTATTGAGAGTTTTACTCAGGAAAGGTTGTTGGATTCTGTCACAAACCTTTTCTGCATCAATTGATAGAATCATGTGGGTCTTGTTCTTTGCTTTATTAATGTGATGAATTATATTAATTGTTTTTCTTATGTTGAATCATCCTTGCATACCTGTTATGAATCCCACTTGGTCATGGTGAATTATTTCTTTGATGTATTGTTGTATTCTGATTGCCAGGATTTTTTTTTTATTCAGGGTTTTTGCATCTGTGTTCATAGGAGATATTGGCCTATAGTTTTCTATTTTGGTGGTGTCCTTTTCAGGGTTTTTTTAGAGGGTGTCGGGTTTTCTTGCTGTTCTTTTTCAGTTTGTTGGAGATGTTGGGTTAGAGAGTCAAAGGTCATTTTTTCCTGACTTTTGATATGTTTGCTTATTGCTATAAATTGACCTCTGATAACTTTTGGCTGTTTCCCAGAGATTTTTGGTAAGTTGTGTTTTCATTGTCATTTGTTTCAAGAAACTTTTTAATTTCATTTTTTCTAGTACCCACTCATGTTCAAACAAGGTATTGTTCAGCTTTTATATGTATGGGGTTTTTTTCTCCTTTATCCTCTTGTTATTAATTTCTGATTTTGTAGCATTGTAGTCTGAGAAGATGCTTTGTATTATTTCTATGTTTTTGAATTTTTTAATGCTTGCCTTGTGACCGAAAATGTGATCTATTCTGGAGAACATTCCATGCACATTGGAAAAGAAGGTATACTGTGCTTTTTGAGGGTGCTTTAGCCTATAAATATCTGTGAGATCGAATGGTTTATTGTGTGGTTTAATTCTCCAGTATCTTTGCTGAGTTTCTTTTTGGTAGTTCTATCCTTTCTTGAGAATGGTGTATTGACGTCTTCAACTACTATAGTAGTGTTGTATATTTCCTTTTTCAGTTTTGTTAATGTTTTATATATTTTTCAGGTCTTTCATTTGGTGCATAGAAAAGATACTTTACTATTGGGGAAAAAGTATATGCTCATCTAGAAAAGTCAGAGGATGGTGAACATAAAACAGTCCCCACCACGGAGGCACTTAATTTACGTCATTTGGGTTTCTTTCCTTCCATATAGTGGAAGAACTTATTTCTTTATGTTCAGAAAATTGGAATCATGCTCAATACCATTTTTTATCTTTAGTTAAATTAAATGTTGAACATTTTTCTTATGTCAATAACAATTTTTAATTTCTAGTATTTTCTCAGCCTGTAGCAGTGTATATTTAACAATTATTAGTGGATGTTTATTTAGAAAATATGAGTGTTTTTAAGAGACTTCTAAAGCAAAGTCTCTAAGAGAGTTATAGTCAATACTGTTTATGGGTGAACATTTCTATTATATTTCATCCTCAGTAACTTTTGAGCTTTATAATTTTTAAAGTTTTTATTTTAGGTAAGCATAGCATAATTCCTAATATTTTTTAGTGAAGAGTAACATTAAAAATTATTTATATTATCATTCAGACGTGAGGTAATTATGTGTCTTGGGCATGTCATCCACAAGGGCACATTCCTTACCTGCAGGTTTCTGCAGGGCCCCTGTAGACTATGTTTTTGTTTGGCATTTCCACCAAAAGGATCATGGATATGTGCTTACTAGACCCATCTACTCTTTAGTTTTTAAGAAATACTCCTTTGTTGTGTTTTGGTAAAAATTCACACAACAAATTAGGTTCCTGGTGGATGAATTCTTCACAGATTGTTCAGTGACATTAGTTTTGCTCTGATTTTTCCATTTCCTATTAAGGACTTTTTATTATAGTTTATCATATATTCAGCAATATATAGACTGGTGGAACAGTTTGGGTAGGTAGAACTTACTACATTCTGTGAGCCATACAATCAATCATTCTTACCTTTTCTGGGTTGTTATCCCCTCATTAACATAAACTTAGTGCTCTCTCTGTAAATATTTCTGTTTCTATTGTCCCTTTGATCTTATATAGATATTTCTTGGAAGAGCACAATGCTCATGGCAGGCCTTTTTTCACTAATCTAAACTATATTTGGTTTTAAAAGTATTTTAAAGGATATTTTGATTTAAGGGTTAAAGATTACTTCAGGGCAGTGGCTTCAGAGATTCATCCAATCTCCATAGCTATTTAAATTTTAGGTTTCTTCATAAACATAAATTCTGTACTATATTTTCTCCCTTTTGATAAACATTCACGATAGTATCTTTGATCAGAATGTTCTGTAATGATAACTGAGCACCATCCAGTTTTTCTGGTCTCAATGCAAAGGAGGCAGTTAACCAACTACCCTATCCATGTCCTCCTGTCCGTGACTCTCCTTTCTCTGTTGCTCTAGAGGAAAATAACCCAGCTATTATTCCTTAGGCTTTAAGAGCACTAAACATATTATTAGGCCATTTAACCAGAAATGTCACATGAAACCTTGGCCCTAAACCTCTGAACAAGGAGCCGGATCTCAGGAGGTACACAGAAGCAGCCTTAGCATTTTATTGCTGTTGTTGCCATTGTTCTGACTTCTCCATATCCTTGTTAACATTTGTTGTTTTCTGTTTGTGGTTTTGTTTTTCTTTTTTATTAGTTCTGTTGTTACTGCTGTTATTATTAGAGCCAATTCACAGCTGACCTTGCAGGTTTTAAGAGCCTGTAAACCACACTGGAGGAGATTGTTTCTCTTTCTCTGGCAGAGCAGCTTGTGATTAATCTTTGTCAGTGTGTCCTTTGCCATTCCCTATCACTCCTCCCTGAGAGAGACTTCACCCTGACTCATAAGGAAAAGGGGATGGCGTATTCTCTTAGCTACTTCCTGCTGAAAAGGGACGCTGTGGGTTTCAGGGTGAAGATCTTCTCTCACTACTCTAAAGGGCCCCTTTGGCAGTAGGAAACACATAGACTATTATGGAGATTGATTTTGGAATTTAGATGCACTGTTATTAATTGTGCTTAGCCGTACATGTTCATATCCTTGAAGATGTATCATGGAAGTGTTGCAGCCTAGAAGACACAAATTTAACTAACAAGTTAAAAGTACATGAGTCAAAAATTAAAAAGCAATAATATTGAGAAGGGTCTGAGAAGGACCCCGCATAAAGTAGTGTATTGCATTGTGTACAGGACTTCTGCTTCCTGCTGTCGACGAGGGCTGGTGGCCTGGGAATCAATTTGGCTTCTGCGGACACAGTTGTCATCTTTGACTCTGATTGGAACCCCCAGAACGACTTGCAGGCACAAGCCCGTGCCCATAGAATTGGTCAGAAGAAGCAGGTCAGTGGGCAAAAGCTCTACACGTGACTCACCGTAGGGGAGAATTCAGCCCGTTTAGGGTGTTTATAAAGGTATTTCCCTCCATTTTGCTTTTATTTTCCCAAGGGAAGATTTCTGTTTGTTTAATAGAATATAGGAGTGATGTTTTTATATCTGAGATGAACTCCTTCCTTGGTGTTTGTCAAAGCAAAGTACACTGTTAGTAACTTTCTATGAGTTTGCCTCCAAAATGGATATATGATGAATAGGTTGAACTTTAAAAGTTTTTTTTTAATATGAAGTTGCTAAGTATTTGAATATTGTTCAAGATGGTCTGTGTTTTAGTCTGTTAGCATTAAGGTACATTAGAAAATATATATTTGCTTCCTTCATATATGTATCTTTAAATCTACTCATTATGCATTGGTTAAGTTTGAAAGTTTAACACTTGACCAGAGATTCTATGTTGGTGAAAATTTTTGTCAATGAAACAGATTATGTTGTTGTTTGTTGTTATGTGCTGCCGGGTCACCTGCAGTTCATAGCGACCCTACTTAAAACAGCTCTGGAGCCTGTCCTGTCCTGAACCAGTCCTACTGACTAAGACACACCTACCCCATTGCCCTAGTTACTGTATTTAGTGAAATTTGTATTGGTAGAACAGACTCAGATTCATTGGTACAGACGGTCTAGTGGACCTGTAAATGACCTGAATGGAGATCTCCTCTACAGTGTCACTGGTGGATTTGAACTGCCAGAGAGGCCTGACCTTTAAATTAGCAGTGCAGGTCCTCCCTGACTGTGCCAGCCGAGCACCTTGTATTGTTGGAGAAATGCTGTAACAATTCTTAGAGACTATTTAAGAGTATGACCTACTGTACATAGTAAAATACTTGCTTAAGTGACTTACCTGAGCCCATCACCTTCAGTAGTGCACAAGTCTTTTTTATTGTCCTCTCCAGGATTTTGGGAAGAGGATGATTTTATTTATTTTTTTTAAAAAATCATGCCTTAGTATAACAGTTGTTTTTCCTGCAGGTAAATATTTACCGCTTGGTTACAAAGGGGACTGTGGAAGAGGAGATCATAGAACGAGCCAAAAAGAAGATGGTATTGGACCATCTTGTGATTCAGCGTATGGATACCACTGGCCGGACAGTTCTGGAAAACAACTCGGGAAGGTCAAAGTAAGTTGTCAGAAAGATGGCAGCAAGAAGATGCAAATTGGTTTTTCATCAGTGACTGGTTAAATAGAATTCTCTGCAGCAGACGTCTATTGTTGTGGACTGTCCAGACAGAACCAGCCCAGGGATGACCCACGAGTGGATTTTCAGAGGCAGCAAATTGCATGGAGGAGATTACCCATCTTTACCCCTAGAAATAGCTACTAGAGTCAAACTGCATACCTTTGTGTTGCCAATGGAGTTCCTTACCACTAAGCTGCCAGAGCTCCCTGCACCAGACAGTAGTCTCCTGATGACTTGGCACATGCTTAGTTATGACTTTGAGGAGACTGCATTTTCATTTCATTTTGCTTTTATGATTTTCTTGCCCCTCCACCCCAGTCACCTTTATTTATATGTTTATTTCTTGCTTATCTGCCCTCTCTGCATAGACTTTCTCTGGCCGTATCATTTTTTTCCCTTTCTGGCACGTCACCCTTGTTTTCCGTCTCTGCATGTGGCATGTGACATGGCACCGGCTGGTGGCTGGGTGCCCCACAGCAGGCTTTCCCTTAGCACAGCGATGCCTTTGACTTTTCAGCAGAGAAAGTCAATCCAGTTGAGTTATCAGCTGTTTTCTTGCTGTTTGCAAAAATGCTTATGTGTGTATCAGTTTGTTTGCTTTCTTGAAGATAGAGAGGGGTCTAGAAGGAAAGTAGCAAACTTTCAATTAAATTTCAAAAGGATAGTCATTTTTTCTCCTATAGAATTTAAATTTTGATCAGATTATTGAGACCTGAAGGTAAATGCACATTAGTCGTTTGTTCGTTCCTCACCAGTTATTTTCAGGTATTTCCCATTCTAGAGAACTAGGAGAGGGAAGCCTGGCTCTTCTGTGTGCAGCAGACATGAGGCAAACTTTTCTCACTCAGAGGACAGAGACTCTCTTCCTTCTCTTAGTTAATAGATGAACTCACAGGAACAGTTTTGCTTTCTTTTTTGCTTGGTTAAGTTTACCACCACGGACTCATTCTCTGGATTAAAAAGAAAAATGTGAAAGGTCCATTTTCTTGGGGGTTGACATTACATTTTCACTAGTTATTTGATGGCTTTATAAAACATAAGTATTCTGAAGTGGAACTTCCTAGAGATGATTTGATAATCCTGTGACAACAATTGCAATTTACTTCTACAGTTCAAACCCTTTCAATAAAGAAGAGCTGACAGCTATTTTGAAATTTGGAGCAGAGGATCTCTTCAAGGAACTTGAAGGGGAGGAGTCAGAACCTCAGGTAATTAATAATGAGGGAAATCATTGTTTTTGAGAGAAACCGAGAGTCTCAGCCTTCCTTGGAAGTAGATTCTAAGACTCTGTTGTTGTTAAGTGCTGTTGAGTCAAGTATGACTCAATAATTACAGGAAGGTTACAGTTTCTTATTTATTCAATGAAGTTTTAAAAACTCCCTCAAACTCATTGCTTTACGGTCAGAGCTAATTTGTAGCTGTCTTTCCAGGAAGTTTTCAGAGGCTGTTAATTTAAGGGCAGAATTGCCCATGTTTGTCCTGAGGAGCTGCTGATGGATTCGAACCCCCGACAAAACACTGCCTTTGGGCTGGCAGGGCAGTTTCCCATAGACCAAATCACCAAAGCTTGTTATAGGAAGTTTAAAGCTCTTACTAAATCAGTTAAGAAAGAATAAGAAAAGTATTTGAGGGTTCTTTTCTTTAATTCCACTATCTTTATTGTGATTTCTGAGTTTCTTATTATTTCTGTAAGTAATAGCTTGAAACTTTAGAAGTAAAAAATATAGTGTGCAAGTATAAAGTTAAATGGGATGCCAGAGAGGAAAATTGATTATTTGTACTAAAGATTTTAAGTGACTACTGATTACTTTTGCCTTCTCATCGTAATGGTGGTGGTTTTGATCCTTTAGGAAATGGATATAGATGAAATTCTGCGTTTGGCGGAGACTAGAGAGAATGAAGTATCCACCAGTGCCACAGATGAGCTTCTGTCTCAGTTTAAGGTATGACTGACACTGTGGAGGGGAGGCCTCGACATTGATTCGTAACTAGTCATACTCTCTGTGTGAACTTTCAGCTTTGCCCTGCGGTCGTTGTTGCTCTCTGGGTAATGATGATGTTGAGTGCGTAGACACCAGTCCTCCCTATGAAAGTAACTGCCAGGCGTTTGGGAAGGACCTTGATAGGGAGTCAGCTGAATAGATGGTGCGGCTTTGAAAGGAACCGGTCAGTAGGCTTATGTGGGTTTCTCAGCAATACTCGACCTCAGGAAAGTTTCCTTAGTTGGCAGGCCCCCAGGTTGGAGGCACGGGATTTCAAGATTGGCTTAAAAACAGTTGAAAGGATCAAGGGTGGGCTGGTTCTGTGCATTGCAGGGAAGCAGGGCGTAGCTGGAAGTTACAGTGATAGTCAAGGGCAGTGACCCTCTCAGGACTGAGGGAGAAGCGAGTGAAGTGGCTGGAAGGGAACGGTCCTGTCTGATGAGAGGCATGGTCAGCCACAGGTCTTAACGGGAGGACAGAGGAGTTGGATGGGTCAGAAAGCTCTTGGACCAGAGTAACACACCTGAGGATGTGGAGGAGAGGGTACAGAAGGACAGAGGGTGTGTTGCTGTTCCTCCAGCATTCCACTTTTATGACCACTGCACCCTTTTTAAACAGTGTCGGGACACTGAATGATAATCGAATATAAAAATTTTAGATGTTACAGGTTAGTTTAAAGCAGTGAGCACATTGCAGTTTACTCTGCCTTTTGGAAGCCCTTTTGGCCATTATGCTTTAAGTGTTTAGTGATTTGCTGAATAGTAGGAGTCTACATGTCCTAGAGGTTATATCTGAAGGGCTTGACCTAAATCGCTGTTGTTTTCCTGATAATCCACTTGTTTGTTTTAATTTAATTTCATGGGTAGAAATACAAGGAACACTTTGGTATAAGATTCCCTTGTTGTTGTTGTGTACCAGCAAGTTGGAACTGACTCCAAGCTTACCCTCCAGCAGGTTATTCAGAAGCAGCAAATTGCACGGGAGGAGATTGCCCACCTTTCTCCTGCAGAGCAGCTGGTGGATTTGAACTGTGTACCTTTGCTTTGGCAGTGCAGTTCCTTACTACTAAGCCACCAGAGCTCCCTAAGATTTTCTTAGGTAATATTAATAACACTGAAATGACTCTTTGTTCTGAGCACTATTTCCAGTGCTTTACATATACTGACTCCTTTATTCTTTTTACAACAGTCTGATGATTGCATAGCTATAGTTATTTCCACTTACAGAGGAAGGAACTGAGGCACTTAACTGACAGGTTCAGAAAGTTTCCTAAAATCACACAAAGTGGTGAAGCCATGATTTCGTCCTACCTAGGTGGTCTGACCTCCAGAGTCTAGCCCTTGGCCTTACATTACCTTTGGGAACGTTAAATTCTCATGTACATATTCAAATATTGATATGCATATCCATTTGCATTATTCTCATTTGTTTCAAAAGTAAAATTTGAAGTTGTTGTTGTTGTTGTATACCGTTGAGTCAGAACCAACCCATGGCTGGCCCTCCAGCTGTAAATCACAAAGAAGATTGCCCAGCCTTTGGGATTGCATTGCAGCATTTGCTGATATAAGAGCCTTCTTATAAAAATATCTTAATATTCATGCTTAGATAAAAACCCCTCAATGGGTTAGTGTGTTGGTGTTTGAAGAAGTAGGGATCAGTCAATGAGAAAATGGGTTGTGCATTTGTTTTAAGGTTGCCAACTTTGCAACCATGGAAGATGAAGAAGAGCTGGAAGAACGGCCCCACAAGGACTGGGATGAGATCATTCCAGAAGAGCAAAGGAAGAAAGTGGAAGAGGAGGAGCGGCAGAAGGAGCTCGAAGAGATTTATATGCTGCCCCGGATCCGGAGCTCCACTAAAAAGGTGAACGAATGAGATGACAGATAGGGCCGTACCCCCTACATATAGGTGTGTGCTAATTATTTAAGGAAGAGGCTCTAGGGCAGAGTTTTTCCACAGGACACCTAGCCCTGGAGAATGAAAAAACAAATGCACAGGGCTTGGGAGCTCAGCTGGAAGCCTTCGGTCTTTGCACGTCGACTTGATGTGAAATGGCTGAACTGCTGCTGGACGTGACAGAAGTGTTATTTTGCTTATGCTATTAGAATCTGTTATCCTAACACTTTGGTTCTAATTGACACTGCCATCTATTCTTTGATAGCCAAGTTTTTTATTTCCCCTGTAAGTGTTCAAAGCACCTAGTACAGATGTTTATTTCATAAATTATTCTGTAACATCTATAAATAAGGAGCACCCACTTTTTGCAATTTATAGAACTCCATTAGAGGCACTAATGTGACTTTTTAAAAACAACTTTGAGATGGTAGAACAAGTTTTATTAGCCAATACTTGCTACCATGCATTGAGCACTTGCTGTGCGCCAGCATAATTCTAAGTGCTTTTACATTTGTTATTGTTGTTGTGTACCATCGAGTCAGAACATAGCTGATCCTCTGGTGGGTTTTCAGAGGCAGTAAATTGTGCAGGAAGAGATTGCCCATCTTTCTCCTGTGGGGTAGCTGGTAGATTCAAACCATGTGCCTTCAGGATTGCAGTGCAATTTCTTAACACTAGGCCACCAGAGCTTTTCCATTTAAGTGATACATTTAATCCTTGTGCAAAGTCTTCTGGTAAGCCCTATTCATCATTTTACAAATGAGAAAACAAAGGCACAAAGAGGGAAGTAAAGTAACTTGCCCAAGTAAATAAACAGTAATCTAAAACACAGCTATTTTTATTCTAGCTCAGTGGTCATTTTATTATAATACATACTTAGAAGTAGGAATATCCCAAGCAAGTTTCCCTTCACTCCATGGCAACTGCCCTGTTATATGTTGGCAGAAAATTGATGTATCTGAAGTAACAGGAAGTTTTGAGTACTCAAAGTGGAGGCTAACCTTAGTCCCTAGGCCTTTTGGACATGGAATGATTTTTCTTTTCTTTTTTCTTTCAGGCTCAGACAAATGACAGTGACTCTGACACTGAGTCTAAGAGGCAGGCTCAGAGGTCCTCTGCCTCAGAGAGTGAAACCGATGACTCCGATGATGACAAGAAGCCGAAGCGCAGAGGGCGCCCCCGAAGTGTGCGGAAGGACCTCGTGGAGGGCTTTACGGATGCTGAGATCCGAAGGTTGGTGAGGTTCTGTCTCACTTGACCTTGTTTAGAAAGACAAGCTCTCAGGCCTAGACTCACCCTCACCAAAAAACACAAGAGAAGCTCAGTCTACCCCCAAATTTCTAAGAAAATTTGTCCTCTTTTAAGATTTTTTTTTTTCAGTTCAGATCTCTCTTGAATTTTACTCATGACTTCTTCCCCCTTACTATTTTCACAAAGAAATGCAGCCAGAGAAAAGAAGCAACTGGAGATTACAGGTGGTCTCTGATTTACAATGTGTTAGCGTTAACCACAGACCACATTGAAGGTCGTCAAGTTGGTGTGTCTTTTGCACATGTTGTCATTAGTGCTGTGTGCTGCATCTGGAGTTGTAGAGGGTAGTTTGATGACTCTTGTCATTCTTCAGTGTTCATTTGCTGATGCTCAGCTTTATGATTTACTTTTCAAAACACTGACATGTAGCAGCGCCAGCGTTAGCAATTGTGGCAGAGTGCTGGGCAGTGTTTAGCTCTAGACATATGATAGCTGAGCTGTGGCCATGCCTGACAGCCTTTGCAGCTCCAGCCTCATTGTAAGGACCTGGACTCTGCTGGCTCGCGTAGACCAATGACCTTAGTGTTCCCTGCCAGAAGAAGCTCACTGGCTGAGTTACTCAGGTTTTCTCTGACGGTAACACCTGCACTGCTAATCTCCTCCTCCACAGTATATCTAGCAGAGACAGCCCACTGAAAGCTGTGATTGAATAAAGGAAGATGAGGCAGGCTCTAGACGTGGATATAAAGGCCCAAGATAATGGAGAGAAAGTTGATGAAACAGTACTTGAAGAAGAACTCATTCAGCTGTCAGCAGTCATCATAAGGATAGGATTTTGGAGATATTTAATGGAGCAAATGGCACGAAACTGACGCTTTAAACAAAGAAGAAACAATACCGCTCCATGAGAAGAAAAAGCTATTGCCAGCTTACAAAGAAAACTTGCATTCTGCCTTCCTGTGAGTTACTCACAATTCAAACAAAAGCATGCAGCCTTCTTTAAAACTTGAAGGAACAGCAAGGAGACTACCATGAGCACTTTAATGCCAACAAGGTCTGGTTTCATTGCTTCACATGCAGACTTGGCTTACATAATGTGGGTGCAACTGGAGAAGCAGGAAGTGCCAGTTCACCAGAACTGCCAAAGAATTCACGACAGAGCTGGGCAAGGCTGTGATAGGTTACCTTGAAATAAATAAAGGAAAAAAGAGAAGGACAATATAAACAAACCTTGTTAAGCTTTACATAGAAATACCATCTGAGAATTTCAGATCTTTGCAGGTCCAGATACCAAATGCTGGCAATTATCCAGCTTTTCATTAGGGCAATAGTTAGGGTATTTAAATGTATGTATTACTAAAATATATGTCAGAGAGCAGGGTAATGACTAAGGACAACAGAAGAATGTGGTGCTGGAGAAGAGAACATACCATGGGCCGCCAAGAAAACAAATAGTCTGTCTTGGAGAGGGTGAAACCAAGTTTCTCTTTTGTTTTTGTTGTTAGGTTCCATTGAGTTTTGCACAACTCATAACAACCTTATGAACAAAAGATCTGAACCCTGTTCTATCTTGTGCCATCCTCACACTTCCTGACACACAACAGCCCATTGCAGCAACCACCATGTCAGTTTACTTGGCTGAGGGTCTTCCTCTTCTTTGCTGACCCTCCACCCTTCCCTTTCTCTTTGGAGACTATGATTTTGCAACTTCTGTCTCACATACTTTGGGCACATGGGCATGAGGAACTGATCTTTGGAGAATGACATCATGCTTGGAAGGGTGGAGGGATGGTGCAGGAGAGGAAGACCCCAGAAGAGATGGATTGACACAGTAACTGGGGCAATAGGGGTAGGTGTGCCGGGCTCAGTGATGTTGGCTCAGAACAGGGCAGTCTCCAAAGCTATTGTACATAGGGTCACTATAAGTCACAGCCAACTCGATGGCACAACAGCATATAGTAAAAGATTATTTATAGGTTTGTATGCTATGTTTCCAATCTCTAAAGGAAAAGATGGAATGTAGAGATGTTGATAAAAAAGGCAATAGGAATTTAAAAAAAAGACTTGTTTGACTTAATGTTAGAAATGACTTGGGACATTCAAGGACTACCTGTATTCTGAGCCAGAACTTTGTTGTTTTTTATTTAAGACTGATCATACATATATGTACATGGCTGTGATTATGCATATACTTAAATATATCAATGTGTGTGTGTCTGTAAGTAAATATAATTATTGTTATGTGCCATTGAGTCAAATACAACTCATAGTGACCCTATTAACAGCAGACCAGAACTTTGTCCTGTCCTTAGACACTTGAGCCCATTGCTTCAGTCGTTGTGTCAATTTACCTCATTGGGGTTCTTCCTCTTTCTAGCTGTTCCTCCTCCCTTCCATGCATGATGTTCTTTTCCAAGGAATATCCTCTCCTAGCAACATGTCTGAAGCATAAGAGATGAAGCTTTGTCATCCTTGCTTTGAGACTATTCTGTCTGTCCTTTTGGCAGTTCAGGGCATATTCAGTGCTCTTCTTGAACAATACAGTTGAAAGGCATCAGTTGTTTTCCTGTCACCCTTATTCATTGTCCAGCTCTCAGATATATTGAAAGTGATTGAAAAGACCATGAACCAGGTGCACCTCAGTCATTAGGCTGACATCATTACTCTTCAGAATTTTGGAGAACCATTCTCAACACTAGCTCCCCTCCACCCCACATTTCAGTCCATTTCCCAACAGTGTTGGTGCTCATATCAGTTTAATAATAGTTTGATATGGGATGTTGTATGGATTTTTTAAAAAAATAATGGAACAACACATTGTTAATTTCTAAAATAGTAAAATAACATTTATAAAATAGTAAATAACATAAATTAATGTTTTTTTATGTGATCCATGTTAGACGTCTTTCTTACTTTAGACATCATTACTTACCTCATCTTTGTTGGTACATGGTACACAAGCCTCTTTCTCCTAAAAATTAGAATCTAAAATTGCTCTTTCCAAATAATTTTTCTCCAATTCACCATTATTTTTTGAAGTCTGAAGAAAATAAAATTTGAGAATAGTTAATTTTATGACTACTCAGTATTCTATCAAATAATCTTAGGTTACTCTATTTGTAGACTTGAGGACTGTATTTCCCCCTGAATGTTGTGTCTATCCTTTTTTTTAAATTTATTATGGAAAAATGTAAATATTTGCAAATCGTGACAGGTTAAAGTTTGGCATTTCTGTAATTATCACTTAATCATTTTCAGTTTGTTTTAAAATAGACATCCTATTTCCTCTCTTCCCTAGTAGGTGTCCCCCCACCCTTTTACTATGTTGAGAAAAATGTGTATTCTACTATTGGACATGGTGGGGTTTAGATACTTGTTGGTTATTTGAATGTTGTTTGCTATCTTCTTATTGCTATTGTATCTAATTGCTCTTTCCCTTTTTCAGAGTGAGATGTTGAAGTCTCTAGTTAACATTATTTAATTATTAATTCTATCAGGATCTTTTTACTATTTTTTGGGGGCTCTTCTGTAAGAAGAAAATATATATTTTTATCCTGATAAAATAATTTTACATTTTCTTCTAGTAACAACTTTTGTCTTCAATTTTATTTTATCTGATAAATAGTAATCCAGCTGTATTTTAGGTACTGTACCCTCAATGAGATTAATTGATTTAGTGACTAGAGTAATGGGGGAAGGTGTGTCAAAGACAATAAGATTGGCACAGGATAGAACAGGGTTAGGACTGTTGTACATAGGGTCGCTATAAGTCACAGGTGACTCGACAGTACATAACAACAACATCATCTAGAATTATTGTATATCCTTTTTCTCTACCCTTTTAGTAACTATCTTTTATTTGAATCTGTAATCAGCATATACTTAGACTACAAAATAAGAGTGAGTGAGTGTGTGTGTGTGTGTTTGTGTGTGTGTGTGTGTGTGTGTGTATAGAGAGAGAGCGAGAGACAGAACTGTGGTGATGTAGCAGTAAGGTGATGAGCTGTTAACCCAAAGGCTGGCAATTCAAATCCACTAGCAGTTCTATAAGAGAAAGATGGCAGTTTACTCCTGTGCAGTTTATATAGCCTTACAGTAATTTACAAATTACTATTGTGCAGTTTATAGCAATATATATTACACACATAAAAATATGTACATATAATTCCATCCATTCTGTGAATCCCTTCCTTTTGATTAGATTGTGTAACCATTTATATTTTGTGTAAATAGATATTGATAAAGTACAATTTAAACCTGTTTATGCTACTGGTTTTCTACATGGTTTAGGATTTTCTTGTTTCTTTATTGTCAGTACTTCCTTCTTTAGTGTTGAAGTGTTTTCTAATATACCATTTTAATTCCCATGTTATTTTCTTTTACAGTGGTTTTTATTCTTTTTCTTGGTTAATGCCTTTGAGATTAAATTTAGCATTTTATTTTACAGCAGTTTAGTTTGTACTAATACCAAGATAATTTCAAGCATATAGACAGTCTTTGACTTCACTGTGGCCCTGTTCCCCAATTCCTCTTTGTATTGTTCTAGACATACAGATTATATGTTTACCACATAGGTAATAATTATTTCTCTAGCAGTTGTCCGTGAAATCAAACTGAGAAGAAAAGAATTGAAAATACATTTATACTGGGTTTTTGTGTTTATTTATCTTGTTACCTTTATTGGTGCTTTTTATTTCTTCATGTGGGTTTGAATTCTTTTCAACAGTCCTTTGCTTTCTGCTGAACGGACTCTTAATATTTCTTTTAGGGCAGCTCACTGTCAATCTGAATTAGCTCATTGACAACCAGCCACAACATCATGCTTGCAGTGAATTTTCTGTGTTCCTTATCTGGCAATCTCTTTTTCTTAGTATCTGAAGAATCGAGTTCTTGATTGGTGATTGTTTTCTTTCAGTATCTTGCATATCATCTCATGGCCTTCTGGCCTCCCAGAAAATCAGCTGTTAATCTTCTTAAGACTGCCTTTTATGTGAAGAGCTGCTTTTCTTTGGTTTTAGATTTTGACAGCTTGTGATGTGAGTAGATGTGGCTGTCTTTGAGTTTATTTTGTTTGAAATTCTTTGAGCTGCTTCGGTGTGCAGATAAATGTCTTTTTACCAGATTTGTGAAGATTTTGGCCATTACTTCTTCAATATTCTTTCTTCTTGAAGGCATTCCTTAAGTCTTTGAGCCTGTTTCTTTTTTATCCATTCTTTTCTCTTTCTGCTTCATAGACTGATCTCAGTTGACATATCTCCAGGTTTACTGACTCTTTTTTCCCCCCTAGCCATTAAAATTGAGTAAATTTTTCCATTTTATTGTATTTCTCAGTGCCACAATTTATATTTGGTTCTTTTTTATAATTTTTATCTATTGATAATATCTACTTGAGAAATTGAGCTCATATTTTCTTTTATGTCTTCAGATATGAATTTCTTTAATCCTTTGGATGTATTTATAGTAGCGTATTTGTTTCATTAATCTAACTGCTGGGTCTCCTTGGGAATGAGTTTGTTGAATTTTTTTCCCTTGCGAATGGACTAACTATATTCTCTGTGTGTTATAATTTTAATTTGGACACTAGACATTCTATAAAGATCATAATCTGCCAATTCTAGAAATCAGTTTCTGCCTCTCCGCCTCTCCTTTCCTTGTTGGCTGGCCAGACTCTGTGATGCATGCTGGCTGCTGCTGGTGTTACTGTTGCTGTGTATTTGGTAAGTGCCTCTATGGACACACTTTGTTAAGTATGCTTTCCCTCAAGGCATTTGAAGACTCTGCTCGGCTTAGCTTGTTGTGTGCGGTTGAGTGGGAACTAACTCAGAGCTGACCCTCCACCTGATTTTCAGAGGCTTTCAGTGGCTTGGGAGCTGATTGCTCATCTTTCTCCTGGTGAATTTGAATCGTGTGTCTTAGAGTTGGCAGCACATCTTCTTACCACTGTGCCACCAGGGCTTACAGGCCAGCTAGTGATCAGACATTTCCTTGAGTGCTTCACAGCTGTAGGTCAGCGGCTTTGCTGATGGCTGTGTATGTGCGGGTTGCACCAGCTGCCAGCGCTCTGACAGGCAGTTTACAGCGCTGCCCTTAGCCTTTTCTTCCTGTTTCTGCACAGCTTCAGGCTCAGCCATGTGAGGGTCAGTCCTGCACATGTATGACCTTCTAGATTCTTGGGAATATGTCACAGCTTTCCCAACTTTCCTGTTCATGGCTTTTTGTGCATGTTTAAAAAAAAAGCGTATGTCAAATGAACCAGCTGGCCTCAGTTTAGATGATCCCAGTTTTGTTGGCAATACCCAGTGCATCATGATCAGGGGAGATAGAACACATGCTTCTCTCCATCACAGCTGATCAAGGTGCTGACCTTGGCCTCCTCTGTGCCGAAGAGCACCTTCACAGCTTGTTTGATTTGGTTCTTGTTGGCCTGGACATCGACAGTGAACACTAGTGTGTCTTCTTCACGGCTTACTCAGTGCAAAGGAGACACTTGATGTTGGCACAGTGATCAGGTTGCTTTCTCTTAGGGGTCTCTTTTGGAGGTTGTTTGTGCTACCTTGAGAGTCTCGGTGTCTTGCGCCACCAGAAGGTGGGTAACATGTGGATCTTTGTCTGTTGATGTCTTAATGTCTTAGTTCCACCTTTTCCATTTTATTTTGCTTCTTGTTAGCATAGCTGGAAGCATTGCTTTGGGCAGCTGTGATAGTTAATGCTTGCTACTTTTGTTTCTCCATTTTTATCCATAGGCAATGTGGATAGAGTAGTTGTCGAAGAGCAAGTGCTGAGTCAAGTCAATAAAGACATGCCTTGGGAAGGGAGCTTCTCAGTGAGCTGCTGAGGTCGTAGTTCTCTTGAGATGGGACTTGCGGAGTTTCAGATGTGCTCTGCCCCATCCAGTGGGACAGTGGACTGTGGACTGCCACAGTGGTGGTTTCCCCAGGTATTGTAGTTGTGAATGTGCTGTTGAGGCTGACACTGAGTTGAAGAGAACATAGTCTGGCAAGGTAAAATATCAGAACACTTTCCACTCTGACCTGGAGTTTACGTTAAAAAAAAAATCCTTAGAATGCCGTAGGCTTTTGGTTGCTTTTCAGAATTCTGACAAAGCTGAAGCAGACTTTTGGAGATTTCTTTTCCTCTACTGTAGAAGTGCTTCACCTTCCCTGTATTGTTTTGAAGGTATCCCAGACATTGTATTTCAGACCTAAAATTGTTTTCATATATATTAGAAAGGAGGAATGTAGAGTTAGTCCTTGTGTTCACTTTCCTAATTCTTGTATCCAGATTGTTCCTTTAATATCTGTTCCTCAGCAGTTGTCCTACTCAGTGCTATTTCTTTCTGTCTCCATGTACTCTATCTTCATGTTTTCCTATTATCTCTTCTTATATTATCACCTAACAAGATTGCTGTATTGACTTGGTATATTAAATGATACTTGTGTTGTCGCCTAGCATCCTGCTTTTTAGTGAAGGTCCTAGTTACTAGGATGCAGGACTGGCAGATTTAACACATGAGTTAACTTCAGCATGGCTTAGTGTAGGGATGTGTGGAAATCTAGATGTAATTTTGGTTGGAGACAAAGTTGGGTGGAAGGAGTCAGTGGAATTTTTAAAAACAGTTTGTCCAATAATTTTTTTTCTTTGTCTAGGAATTCTTTTTTTTTTAATCTTTTTTTTTATTTCATTATTTTTTGTGTGTACCGTCAAATCAGATCTGACTGGTACAGGAGGACATTGTTTCTCCTTTTCGAGCAGAGCATCTGGTAGATTTGAACTGTGCACTTCTGAACTTGCAGTTGCAGCTTCTTGCCATGTCTAGGAATTCTTAAATCTTACGTTTTACTTTGCCTCATTCCTAAAGGGATTTATAGCCATCTTGAAAATCTTACAGCTATATTATTGGGCAAATAAATAATGAAAAATATTACAGCATATGATTAAAACTAGCCGTGGATTGGCTGATCACATTGTCCTGTCAGATTTCTACAACAAAATTGTGAAAAATGTGTAAATTTCTACTACAAGAATCATCTCTTTCATATTTAATTCCAAAACTTAAACTTTCTGAAGATCATGTCAGGTCTCTATTATGTGTCTAGGCAATTTCTTGGGAGTGTGATGAGTCATTGAGGATAAAGTAGATCTTTGATTTGAATAGACTTTTATTTTGAATAGCACTTGTTATTTTAAATATACTAGTTTCAAAACATGTATCACTCATTGTGTGACAATGGAAAGGATGAGCCTAATCTGTTTTTTACCATTTACAAGATTTATTTCCTCATGACCATGTTGACTTTAACTAATGTCTCTGTTTTTAATATATTATTTTCTGTCATATTCTTAGGTTCATCAAGGCTTATAAGAAGTTTGGTCTCCCTCTTGAACGGTAAGCTCAGTAATAGTTTCTTACCATTCTTTTTAGTTTTATCCTCTAAAATTATTTTTATTTTATCTTGATTTGCATATAAAATTCATATACATTGTGTTTTGTTTGTAGATATTGTTTAAGCATTCTTCTATTCATAATTGTGTTTCATTGTATCATTCCCATACATTATGTTTTATAAAATTAATCACCATTGACCCATGTGCACCAGTACCCAGCCTTTTTAGGTCCCCACTAGATCTTTCCTAACTTCTTCACTCCCTCACTCTGATGATATAACCCGGTTTTGTTAAGGTCCACCCACTTTCATCTTTAGCCTCCTTCCTCCTTCCCCTTCCCTCTTTGGACTTTCATATACATCTTACTAGTAATCCTGCTGTTTTTACAATAATGGTCTTATGCAGTATTTTTCCTTATGAGACTGAGTTAACTTAGTATAATGCTCTCCAACGTGTCCTATGTTCTATAGTATTTTTCAAAATCTTTGCTCCTGAGTTTTGCATACTATTCCATCACATGAATGAACCAGTTTCTCAATCCATTCCTTTGTTTATGGACATTTTGGCTGCCTCTTTTGTCTTGCTATTGTGAATAATGCTGCTATGAACATCAGTTTAAATCTTTGTGTCTTTGTTATATTTTCCTTGGTGTGTATTCCTAGAAGTGGAATAGCTGAAATTTCTAAGTTCAGCTTTTGAGGAAACACTAAACTGCCTTCCAGAGTGATTGTACCATTTTACAATACCACCAGCAGTGTATAAGAGTTCCTGTCTCTCCTCATCCTTTCCAATATTTATTGCTTTCCATCCTATTAAACTTTGTCTTTGCTACTGAGGTAAGATGGTATCTCATTGTGGTTTTGATTTGCATCTCTCCTGTTGCCAGTGATTTTGATTCATCTGAATGTCTTCCTCTGTGAAGAGTCTTCATTTCTTTTGCCCATTTTGTAATTGGGTTATTGGTCTTTTTCATGTGGAGGCCCTGTATGATCTGTAAACTTTCATTTTGAGACCCTTGTGTAAGATGGCTTTGCTAAATGATTTTTCCCAGTCAGTAGGTTTTCTAATTACCCTTTTGTAGAAAGTTTTCGATGCACACAGGAGAAGGGTGGTAGATCATTCCTAAGGAACTGTTACTTCGGTGAGGAAGCTGTCTGGAATGTATTCAGCATTGTAGTACAAAGAGATAATTTTCAGAAGTGATGCTTGGATAACTTGTGCTGGAAAGACTATAGTTAGTATTTGCAAACTAGATCTTAGATTTAATAATCAAAGTTAAAAGGATTTTTGAATCTTCTAGTTAACAAGACTCTCATCAGAATTAACTGCAAAGAGTTTATGATGCTTGGCCAAGAGTAATTTAAAAAGATTTAGCTGTTGTTACTGTTCTGCAAGCATTCAGAAAATGAATGCAGAGGAAGTCTAATTTTAAGTGAGCTCTTATTGCAACTAGTTTGGTGTTTTGATTTGTCCATTTCCACAGTCCCATCTCTAAATATTGTTACTGATTTAAAGGAAATGTCAGATCCCTTTTTGTACTGCTGAAAAACTCTGTGTGTGGAAGAAAATTCCGAGCCTGTGTGTTTTGTTTTGCCTTTTCTCTCCTTTGGAGAGGTCATGTGTAAGCCACACAGAAGCCAGGAAAGTGGTATGTGTCTTTGTGGGACTGTTGCTGACTCTGTGATAGAATGTCCTTAAGAGAGTAACACTAAGAAGAGTGATGACTAGCAGAGCTGGCATCTTATGGCAGTAAAATTTCTAGACATTAGCTTTGGAGTGGCCAGCAAGGAAGGCAGAGACACGTGTCCTTGTAGGATCAAGTTTGTATGTGACGTGGTGGTGGTGGTGCCATCAAGTCAACCATGACTCATAGGGACCCATGAATAATAGATCTGAACTGTGCCCTGTCCTGTGCCATCCTTATCATCTCTGAGGCCCTTGAGTGCACTGTTTTTTGTTTTTTTAATTTAGGTTGTTTATTTTTCATTTCAATGAACATCTACAGAGATTTTGGGATTCCATTCATTCATTGTTGCACCCTTCTCCCCACACAAA